TTAGAAAAGGCACCGTGAAGTGTTGGTATCGTACATGTACAAGATCAGGCATATTGTACATTTAGTTACAAAACTACCGTTTGAAATTGTTGCTTTCATAACCATAGATGCAATTTCTCAGTGTTTCACTTTTTGTCAGATTTCATTCATATTGCCACATGGTTCGTATGGAATCCTCATGACTATGTTTGTATTGTAATGGATATGATAATCATCCTACCATGAAGATGATTACACCACCACATTATGACCAGTTCGCAATTGATCAAAAATGATTAATGCAGAAGAACAGTCTGATGTTGTACTAATATTAACATATTTCTCTCATGGTAACTTTGTAGCAATTTAGATGAGCTGTTATTTTTGAATTCATTAATTTTATTATGTTATATTATTTTTTAGGCTTTTACTGTAATCTTGTAGCATTTTTGTAAATTTGTATTTACTGAATATACTGAACTATACATTTCTTTTTCCATCTAGTTCAGAAATTATAAAAATTCAATTCTCAGTTAAAACCACTTTATAGTGGCAATTGAGAGACAAATATTTTTGCGAAGCATTGTAGCAATGAATGTTTCACTGGCATTGTCACAGCGACTTTTAATCCTTGAGACCATTTTTATTGGTTTTACAGCGTATGGAATACCACACGTTAAAATAACAAACACAACCAACTATTACCGATACATGTATTGCACTCTATTTAGCTAAGTATTTTTTACATACCAAAGAAAAAATTAAATTAAAAAATGATGAAGTGCCAATTCACAAATGACTTACAAGATTACATTCTACAAGTATTAATGTAAATCACAATCATATATTTCAATAAAATATAACAAATTAAATATGACATGGTTTTCGTTCATTCTTCACAGTACCAAGATAACTCACTCACACAGTATACAAGTGTTCAAGTAGTTTTGTCAATGGATCTGAATAAAACGTTCTTGCAAATGGCAGAAATCTTGTTGAGAGCAAGAGAGCCCTGTTGAGGGGGCAAGAACAAGTTGTTTGTGATGGCCATTAGCAAAGAAGGTTTTTTCTAATGTTGTGAGAATGTTTACATAATAGACTAGTTTCCTGGATGCTGTGTGTGTGCCTGCGACAGTAATGAGGATTGGTTTTATTAACTGTTCAGTTCAAGCCAGAGACTCCACCGTAGAGATAGACAGATATGGCTGTTACATTCTCTATTACATTTTGCCATGTCAGAATGGAGTTTGCATTTTTATGACAATTACTGGTTTATCCTGGTAGTCTTGGTTGGTCTGGAATGGTCTCCAAATAGTTGTCAAGCTGTTTTTTTTTCAAATGTATGTGTACTACATTGTATAGTGTTACATATATGTATTCTGACAGTTTAAAAGTTTGCATTACCGGTAACTTACACTAAGGCTGTTGTGGCATGGGTACTAATAGGTGGAGTGATCCAGTTCATAAAATTTTAAAGGTAACCAAGATGCTTAAATTACATAATCAACATGTTCCATAAAAATTGAAGTTGTTATAATACAGAATCTGCCTAAAACAGCATATTCCTAATAACAAGGAATCAATATCGACTGCTCCCTTCTCTCATATGCATGGTAGCTAAGCGACTACAGAACTCTGCAATTTAGAAACGCTAGAGGGCAGTATACATATTTAGCAACAGTTAAAGATGTGGATACTTTGAATACTTTTAGTAAAAAATCGACAAACACAAATCATATAAAAATGCATTCCACAGTAATCGATCACGTATATCAATATATCAAATTTAAAAACATGAACATTAGAATTATCATTAATAAAAATATAAAAAATATCAAAAAATATATTCAATTAATAACAAATTATTAATTAATAATATTTAATATTGCACAAACAGAAAATCCTTTTAAAACCATGTGGATTTCATAATGCACCAGCAAATATCAAAAT